CCTCTTGTTACGCACTTGAGGGTCGTTGAGCATCTCAAGAGCAGCGAAGTTGACAGCTTGATTGGCTGAAATCAATTCAGCTCCGTTCCACCTCTCCTCCACCTCTCCTCCTCGTTTCCTCTCATCCTTCCCCATCTTCCCCTCCCCCCATCCTATCTCCTCCTCAATTTCCCGCTCTTCCGCCTCCTCAAACCTTTTCTCTTCCCTTTCCTCTTCATCGTCTCCAGTGCTCTTCTCGCATTCAGCAGACGCTGAGTTGAGAAGCGTGTCAAAAATCTTCAATTGTTACCTCAAACAGCAAACAAGTAGGTCATGATTATCATCATCATGATCATTGTTATCATCGTCATCACCATCGTCATCATCATCTCCATCATTATCATCATTATCATCATTATCATCATTATCATCGTCACCTTTCTTGATCTCTTTGAGTGCAGGTGAGCGACTCCTTTGCCCTTCTTATCTTTGTTGCCCGCCACCTTGACCTCATTAGTCCTCCTCCTCTGTCCCACCCTCCGTCCTCTTTCTCCTCTCCCTCCGTCCTCCTCTTTCTCCTCTCCCTTCGTCCTCCTCCTCCTGTACCTTCTGAAGGTCGTCGATATCCAAACCTTCATCATCTGAGTCTTGTCCTGCCTTTGCCATCTGCAACAATTTTCAGTCTCTGAGCGCATCAGTCTCATCCTCCTCTTTCTTTCCTTCTCCAATTTCTTCCTTCCCTTCCCCTCCCTCTAGGGGATCTGCTTTCGCCCCTCCCACCACCATTACCATCTCCTCCTCCTCCTTCCTCCTCCTCCTCCCTCCTCCTCCTTCCTCCTCCTCCTGCTCCTTCCCTTCCTCTGCCTGCTATTTCTTCTGTTCTTTCGCTCCATTCTCCTCCCGATCGCCATCTTCCTTCCTACCTCTTCGTCGTCTACTCCCAAGAAAAAGTTCAACGCCGTTGCTCGAACCTGAATACACTGATTTCAGCTACAGGAACTGGAGGATAGAGATGTGAAGGAGGAGGGAGGGAGGGAGGGAGGGAGGGGAAGTAAGTACCTTGCTTTCAGTGGAGAAGCAAGCAGTAGCGATAACGTTGACAGTCTTCGCGTCATACCAAATCTTTTTCTTATACAACTGAGAGGATGTCATGATGATTGGAAAGCAGGAAAGAAGTAGAATCCACCTTGATAAGAACATCCAGCGAGCTCTTAGCAGCAGTGCTGTTTCTGTCCGACAGCAGTTTGAAGAGGAAATTCTACATGGCAAGATAAAGAAGAAAAAAAGACAGAGAGCGGGAGGAAAAGGTGTAGGAGGCAAAAAGGGAGAAGAGCAGAAAATGGTCAAGCAGGGGGGAGGGGGAGGGGAAGAAGAGCAGAATGTTAGGAGAACGTGATTACAAACTCATCGGTCACTGACCTGAAGCTCTTTGTTCGTCTTGTTGTCTTTTTTCCCCGTGTTGATGTTCTTAATGTCACTGACGATATGAGCAGCAAGAGCAGCCCTCAGCTTCTTGTCTTTGCAGCTTCACAAACTTGTCAGGACCTCATCTCAGCTCCCTCCCTCGTCTCACCGGAACATCTGGAAGAAGAGCTGGGGATAGCAGAACCTCAGCAGCACTCCAGCACAGTCGAGGTTCTCACCTGGTTGACGGGGACAGGAGGAAGAAGATGTCTGTTCCTCAACATTATCACGTCCTGGCACAGCTCCTGCGTTGTGTCACATCCCTTGACCCTCCTGCTCCTACTCCTGCTCCTGCTCCTGCTTTCTCCCTTTCACCCCCTATCCCGTCTTGCTCCTGCTTTTGCTCTCTCTCACCCCTGCAGCCACTCCTCCTCCTCCTCCTCCTCCTCCCTCCTCCTCCTCCTCCTCCTCCTCCTCCTCCTCCTCCTCCTCCTCCTCCTCCTCCTCCTCCTCCTCCTCCTCCTCCTCCTCCTCCTCCTCCTCCTCCTCCTCCTCCTCCTCCTCCTCCTCCTCCTCCTCCTCCTCCTCCTCCTCCTCCTCCCCCGTTCCTCCCACCCCAGTTCCTCACCTTGCGCAGCCCGGGGTCCATCACAAGGTGGAACTGTTCGAGGAGTCCGACCAACTGCGAAGGGAAGGACGCAAGCTCGCGAGGGTAGCATGGCGTCACCTGCCGCGTCGTCATTCCCTTCTCCTGCTGGAGCATCAGGTGGCATGCGAGCTCACGTGGGCGAGCAGGGCAGCCGTCTCCTGCAGGTCGTGCATCGGCTTCGAAGGCTTGCTCTTGAAGATGTTCACGTTGGCCTAAAAGGTATCAGACGTCTGTCTCGGAGGAGGAGGAGGAGCAGGAGGAGGAGCAGGAGGAGCAGGAGGAGCAGGAGGAGCAGGAGCAGGAGGAGGAGCAGGAGGAGGAGGAGGAGGAGCAGCAGCAGCAGCAGGAGCAGCAGGAGCAGGAGCAGCAGCAGCAGCAGGAGCAGGAGCAGCAGCAGCAGGACAGAATTCTTTTCTCACCTCGAAGTGTCTCATTTGCAGGAAAAGTTCGTCGAGGTAAGACTGCGGGAACTATTTTTCAGCGAGGGATCCAAGGAAAGCAGGGTTCATCCTGACCTTGGGGTCTTTCTTCATAGCGCTCCTGAGGAGCTGCATGTCCCCGGCCGACATGTCGGCGAATCCTGCGCAGAAGAACAAGTTAACACAAGACCTATGAAGCTGACTCACAACGCAACTCGATCTCGCCTCAAACACAGATCTAAACAACTGCTTCTGACGAGTTTTGCGTGTACCTATCATCATTACTAGGCCCCAACATCCTGCCGGTAATGTATCTTGCTTGCTGCTGCCCCCTCCCGCCCCCTCCCGCCGCTCCCTCCCTCCCTCGTTCCTGCCCTCCCTGCCCCAAACACTGCATAAATCGCACGTGAAGATTTCGCCTTGTCCGTTGCCGATATTGTAACGGTACGATGATCTACGTAACCGCTAGCGATCGTATGATAACGGTCTGTTGCATCAGACGTTGGAAATCCGTTGCTGTCTCAACCGTCCTACTGGTTTACTCAAGAGATGAGTTTGGCAAGTACCGGTCCTAGTTGAGTCGAACACGGGGGTAGGTAAGGCTACACACTGCCACCCTGGAGAAATCACCTTTTCTAGTTTACAGCTTGTTGATGTGGTAGGGTACATAACCCTACCTTGAACATTGAGGGGAAAATGTACCCACTCACAGATATATTTTCAGTACCCCACCTACTCTTTTCGGGCTTTCGTTCTGATACACCCCCAGAACCCCACCCCCCTCCGTTCTGTGCATATGCACCCCTATCTCTGTAGTCGAAAGGACCGGTGCCTTGTGTTTAAGACCCACGCCATGCTCCGCAAGCTTGCTCTCGTGGTAACATGCTCGGTTGCTGCCGACGCGTTCCTGCAGCCCCTGCATGTGTCGCCTGCTGCTGCCCGTCAGCTCCCTGTCTCTCCTCGCGCCGGCAGATCCTCTTCGGTCACCTCGCTCAGCATGTCCAAGGAAAGCGTGCTCATCATCGGGGGGACCAGGTTTTCCGGAGCTTACTTGTGGAAAGGTTAGCATCACTTCCTCCTCGTTCAAGTTCCTCTCCTCTCCTCCTTGTTCAAGCTCCTCCTCTCCTCTTCTCCACCGTGATCCATCACATGGTTCCCTCCAGCAGCTCTACCCTCGTCTCCTTGCTTCCCTGACGTTGCCTCAGAGCTCGTGGATCGCGGGCACCAGGTCACCCTGTACAACCGCGGCAAGACCTCGCCCAAGCCCCTCCCGGGAGAGAGTGAGAGCGACTACAAGCGTCGCCTGGAGACCACAAAGTGAGTCCTTGAGGGACGGAGCGGGGGTGAGGAGTAGCGGGAAAGGGATTTGTGGCGGGAGGGAGGGGGCAAGATGATGGTGGGCGTATGGGAAAGGAGGGCTGTAGGCTGACGCTGTTCACAGGTACTTGATGGGAGATCGCAAGGATCCTGAGCAGATCAAGAACCTGGTGGATCCATCCTTGTACACTTGTATGAATGCTCCTCCTCCTCCTCCTCCTCCTCCTCCTCCTCCTCCTCTTCGTTTCTTTTTCTCTCCTCACATTTTGCCAGATGTTTATGACATGAACGGAAGAGAGGCCTCGGACACGGCTCCCCTCGCCGACCTCTTCACCACCAGCCGATCTGAGCTCAAGGTGAGCTAAGAGGCTGGAGGCTGGTGGACTGCTGACATCCTCCTCCTCCTCCTCCTCCTCCTCCTCCTCCTCAGTCCTTCATCTACATGAGCTCAGCTGGAGTTTACAAGAAGTCAAGTGAGATGCCCCACATGGAGCATGATGCTGTGGATCCCAAGAGCAGGCACAAGGGCAAGTTGGAGACTGAAGCTTACCGTCGAGCCCCCTCCTCCTCCTCCCCCCTCCCTTCCTCGTCCCTCCCTTCCTCTTCCCTCCCTTCCTCGTCCCTCCCTTCCTCTTCCCTCCCTTTCCCTCCCCTCATTGATTCTCGGCGTCCTCTTGACTCTTCCTCGGGCAGTCCGATCCCTCGGCGGCAACTTCAACTGGTGCTCCATCCGCCCCACCTACATCTGCGGCCCTCAGAACTACAACGTTGTAAGTGCGAGCAGGGAAATGCGATAAAGGGAGGGAGGGAGGGAGGGGAGGGAAGGAGAAGAGATGTTTTTGACAAGTTGAGCAGGTAGAGCAGTACTTCCTTGAGCGCGCTGACGCCAAGCGAGGATTCATTGTGCCTGGACATGGCGAACATCTTACTGGGTTCGGCCACGTCAAGGTAAGACCAGGAGGATTGAGCGGGGAAGGTGGAGGCGGCGGGAAGGAGGAGGAGGAGGAGGAGGAGGAGGAGGAGGAATATCTCAAAGGTTTTGATTCAGGATCTTGCTGTCGCCATGGCTAATGTGATTGGACGTGAGAAGAAGACCAACGGACAGGTGATGATGCGAAAGATTCGTGAACATGATGCTGGAAAAATACATCTTCTTCTCTTCCTCTTACTGATTTACTCCTCTGTTCCTCCTCTCCTCTCCTCTCCTCTCCTCTCCTCTCCTCTCCTCTCCTCTCCTCTCCTCTCCTCTCCTCTCCTCTCCTCTCCTCTCCTCTCCTCTCCTCTCCTCTCCTCCTCCCGTCTCTATTCTCGTTCTTCTCTCCCTTCCTGCTTTTCTCCTGTTGGCTTGCTCTTATGACCGCCTCTCTTACACACAAACCTTCTCAGGTCTACAACATTCAGAACACCAACGCTATCACCTTCGACGGAGCTTGCAGGGTTGCTGCTGAAGTTGTCGGAACCAACCCGGACGATGTTGAGATTGTCCACTACAACCCGGTTGATCTTCCTCAAGACTCCCCTTCTCTCTCCCCCTCCTCCCCTTAGTCCTTCCCTTCCTCTTTCTTCGTTCCTGCTTCTTCCCTCCTTCCTGCAACTTCCTAGTTTCCTCTACCTACGAGTGTCCTCCTCTTGCTCATATCTCCTCCTCTCCTACTCTCTCGCTCACGTCAAAGAGCAGAAGGAGTTCAAGTTTCCCGAGGGCAAGAAAGCTTTCCCCATGCGCCCCCAGCACTTCTTCACCAACGTCGACAAGGCGAGGAGGGACCTTGAGTGGGAGCCGATGTTCAACTCCTGCCGCGAGATCTTCCAGGACTCCTACACCAACGACTTCCTCCTCAAGAAGGTCCTGCAAGCTCCTCGCGCCACTCCCGTTTCTCCTCCTCCCTTCCTGCCCCACCCTCGCTCTCCTCCTTTCCTCCATCCCGCTTTCTTTTCCGTCCTCCTTTCTGTCCTGATTTTAAGTTCGGCTGCCCCATGCTCCTCCTCCTCTTCGCCTCCACCCCCCCCCCCTTCCTCCTCCTCCTCCTCCTCCTCCTCATCCTTCTCGCAGGCTGCCGGCAAGCTCGACAACGACTTCACGTGCGACGAGATTGTCTTTAGCCAGCGGAAGCCGGTTACCATCTAGAGGATGAGAATGAAAGACATCTAGACTGACGAGACGAGAGCTGAGAGGCGAGGAGCTTGCTGGGCAGGAGGAGGGAAGAGATGGGCTAGCTGTAGCTCTGCTAGTGGAAGTGAGGGCGATCGAGGATTAGTGTGCAGAGTTGGAATGAGACGGTCCAGAGGCGAGAGAAGGACGACGACAACAACAACAACAAGGAGGAGGAGGAGGAGGAGCAGCAGCAGCAGCAGGGAGAGGACAATGTTGAGGAAGGGGGAGTAGGAGCAGGAGGCAGACTAGATGATCTCATACTCTATCGACTTCCAGAAACGAACGAACTCCTCCTCGTCGATCTTGTTGTCCCCGTTGGTGTCCAGTCGCTCCACCAGCTCAGTTGTCTCGTTGGGATGGAGCCATACCCCTACCTCCCTCAGCCCTGCCGCGAGCTCGACCCGCGTCAGGAAGCCTCTGCTGTCCCTGTCCATGTTGCGGAAGATGGAGGAGGGAAAGTCTCCCAGTGCGCCGATCATCTTCTTCTTGATCTGAGCGGAGGTGAGAGGAGGGAGACGCGGAGGAGGGACAGATGGAGGAGGAGGAGAAGAGGGAGAGGCGGAGGAAGAGAAGGGAGAGGAGTGGAAGAAAGGAGGGGGAGAGACGAAAATGGAGAATAACGATGGGAAGATAGGTATGCGGGAATAGGAGGAGGGAGTGGTGGTGGAAGGAGGGAGGAAGGAAGAGGGGGAGGAAGAGAAGGGAGAGACGGAAGAGGGATTGAAAGCCCCTACCTGCCGCATCTTCATCTCTTTCACCCACTCGACGCCGACAGGTTGGAAGAAGTTGGGAGGAAGGGCGGAGGGGGAGGAGGAGGACACTTGCTCCAGTATCAGCGCGACTGTCTCAGGGATGCGACAGTAGTAGAGGGTGACGAGGCCGTCGCGGGGGATATCTTTCATCCAGGAGGAAGGGACGTCGAAGGAAATGCCGTTGAGAGTCGTCTCCACCATGTTGATGCCTGCTCCTTCTTCAGTCCTCCCTCCTCGTGCTCCTGCTCCTGCTCCTGCTCCTGCTCCTGCTCCTGCTCCTGCTCCTGCTCCTGCTCCTGCTCCTGCTCCTGCTCCTGCTCCTGCTCCTGCTCCTGCTCCTGCTCCTGCTCCTGCTCCTGCTCCTGCTCCTGCTCCTGCTCCTGCTCCTGCTCCTGCCTCAGGTCCTCCTTCCATGAGTTTAAGCTTCACTTGTCCCGATACTGGTCTGTGTGGAGTTTAAGCCATCAACACTTACTCACGAGCTCTCCTCCTCTACCAGGCTGCGTATCCCGACACATCTGATATCGACGAGAGCTGAGACCCGGGAAACTCGTCATGACATTGCGACGAAAGTCCACGTAACTAAACTACATCAAAGCATCTAAGAACCCTGACGACGTGGCAGGAAGAGAGTAGAAAAGAAATTCGACATTGGAACAGGCAGGAAAAGTTAGTCAAGAACTAACA